AGTGTAAGCAAGTAGGTATGTATATATATCACAGTACAAGCTAAGTCACGCAATGAGCAAGTGAGACAAAGTAGGCACAAGGCCTAAAGCAGTACAGAAACGCTGATGATCACCAGACGCAAGTGCCTTGGTGAATATATCAGCAGTGTTGGCCCAAGTGGCCACGTAAGCAAGACAAAGCTGACCACGCTGCTGCAACTCTCGAGCAAGGAAGTAACGCAGAGCGATGTGCTTCCTTCTGTGCTTCAGTATGTGCTCTTCACACAAGGCAATCATGGCCTTGTTGTCTACGTACAGAACTGGAGGAGAACGGGGCCACTCTCCTAGGTCGGTCAGAAGGTAGATGTGCTCAAACAGTATATTAAGCTTAGGTGCCATGGCTAGGTTTTCAGGAAGACAAGAGAAGTGAGGGAGAAGTTTCACCAACAAAAGAGGATGTTCACTTTAGAGCGAGCAGTACAAATAGGCAAGAAGAAACAAGAAGGGTGCACCACCAAACAGGAAAATGCTATAACTACAGTAACCAATCCTACAGGCTGTTACATATAGAAAATATAGACATATGTTTTCTAACAAGATGAGCCAGCGTAACTCCTGTGCAGCCATGGCCCATGCGTAGATCTGAGCCTCACAATTGGAACTGAGAACAAAAGACGAGCGGGTAGACCGCCAAGAAACAGAACCGGAGCAAAGGCTGAAAGTGCAACCTTATGACGACCACTGCATAGCCAGGTTGTCAACCCAAGACACGTCTGCGTGTCCAGTGAGGACAACTGGACCTCGTCCTCCAAGCACGAACCCCATGCCTGATGTACTGCACAAGTAGCGCAACACCCTCTTAGCGGCCTCCAGAGCTGTGGCCGGTGTCTCCCGGGCGCAACGTAGCGAGCCAGGATGCTAAGAGGGTAGGCAAGGTCAGGTCGAGTGCAGGTCATCAGACACATGAGGCAGCCCACAAGCTCTGGATACGGGCCACTCGGCTCTACAGACTCGTCCGAAGGTGGAGTTGAGAGCAAGCGATCGGTAGGCAAAGGAGTGGACTTTGGTGAGGAGAACCGGAAGTCGAAGCGCTGAAGGACCTGCTTTACCATGTGTGACTGAGTCAGGGTGATGGTGCATCGTGCTCTATCCCGGGTGATCTGCAAGCCAAGAGAGTTGTGCAGCTCGCCCTGATTAGCGCAGGTGTCTCTCTTTTGCAACTTCGACTTCACAAGGGCCAGTGCCTCAGTGTCAGCTTTGGCAAAAACCAAGTCGTCGACGTACACGAGGATGTAGAACGACGGCAGCGAAGTGTCGTGTGCAGAAACAGCGACGGGTCTGCAGTCGATGGAGCAAACCCAAGGGCTGCAAGTGTCGTCCTTAGTGTGTTGTGCCACTTAGAAGGCGCCTGACGGAGACCGTAGACTGGCCGTCGAAGGCTCCACTGGGTACCCTCAGGAGACGACCCAGTGAAGCCACGAGGACGGCGCAGCCAGATCTCCTTGTGCACGGTGCCCTGTAAGAAAGCTGTGCTGAAGTCAAGAGAGTGAAGCTCGTAGTCACGCTGAGCGGCAATGTGCTGCAGCACCTAAAGAGTGGTCATCTTTGGGGTAGGAGAGAAGGTCTGGAAGAAGTCAACTCCCTGTCGCTGACAAAAGCCTTGTGCAACGTAACGAGCCTTGAAGACAGGCGGAGAACCCGGCGGCCGCTTCACCCTGAAAATCCACATGCCATCGACTATGTTTGCCCCAAGAGGGCAAACTGCGTCGACATAAGTGCCTGTGGACTTCCACGATGCCATCTCTGCATCCATGGTTGTCTGCCACTGAGAGGAGTAGGGACCCGTAATTGCCTCAACGTAAGTGCGCGAGGTCGGGATGTCTAAAGCATCCGGATCTCCCTCAGGTGCAAACAGCTTGGCCACGAGATGAGGTACAACAGCTGCAAGACACTCAATGTCCTCCTGCCTCCGTGCCTAGAGCACACTTACCCCCGACGGACGAATGACAGACAGACTAGTGGCGTAGTCGAGACGACAGCTAGCAGCAAAGTCGACAAGCTTAGCAACTAAGGCAGTCGCAGTAGTGGACTCAAACGAAGGGTCAGTGACAACAGAGGCTAGGAGACGTGTGACAGTAGGGCTGGCAGCACGAACCAAGTCAGACTCAAAGTCCGGACTGTCAGCAAGAGAGGACGCAGGAGGAGACTACAGAATGACACACTGTGGAACAGAGGAAAGACAAAGTGCCATAGTGAGAGGGCCGGGGAGAGGAGGAGGACGCGGACGAGGAATACGGCGACTAGTGCTAACGGCGCGAACAGGCGAGGCAGGACAAGAGGCAAGCTCACGATGCTCTGTTAGAGAGTCTGTCTTCTGCGACTGGTCAGGCAATGGACAGATAAAGGGAGGAGTAAAGCCAGTAGAAGACGGGAGACTAAGAACCTGGCAAAGTACCAAGCCAGGTGGCGGCAGAGATGACGGCGGCAGTGTAACAAAAAACGATTGCCGCTGTGCAGTGCCTCCAGCACTAGTACCGCCAGCTCCAGCATCCCAAGTGCCAGCACCTCCAGCTCTAGGGTCTCTAGCTCCAGCGCCTCTAGCTCCAGCGCCTCCAGCTCCTGTGCCCCCATCTCCAGCGCCTCCAGCTCCAGTGCCTCCAGCTCCAGCACCTCCAGCTCCAGCACCTCTAGCACCTCCAGTTCTAGCAGCACCAGCACCTCTAGCGCCAGCAGTACCACCAGCTCCGGCAGCTCCCGTACCTCCAGTACGAGCACCTCCAAGACCAGCAGCTCTAGCACCTCCGATACCTCCAGCTCCAGCGGCGCCACTCCGAAGGCGGGTGCGCCGAGCAAACCACTTGCGCAGCTGCTGCAGTGAGAGAGGCTCGCACCGGCGAGACTGTCGTGGGCGGGAGGATTTGTCGAAGCGAGGGTTGCGAATGGTAACGGTGTCAAAATCATAGCCACTAACCACTGGGATAAAAGGGCTTGTTTAAGTAGCGGGTGAGTGCGCCCACAACCCCCCAGGCCAACGTGCCTGTAACCCTTCCTTAGGATCAATAGGGGATCACCTGTAGACCTCTGACACCCCCCCGCACTGGGATGCCCGAGGTGCACACACCGGGATTCGAACCCGAGACCTTCGCTCTGATGCCATGTCAAAATCCCAGCCACTAACCACTGGGATAAAAGGGCTTGTTTAAGTAGCGGGTGAGTGCGCCCACAACCCCCCAGGCCAACGTGCCTGTAACCCTTCCCTAGGATCAATAGGGGATCACCAGTGGACCTCTGACAAACGGTGCTGACTGTGGTGCTACAGTGATGTATGCGCTAAGCAGGGATGCGGCGTAAGGAAATGGAAAATTCCTTACAATATCCAATATATGAGTTAAAATCTCCAATTCTGAGTCGGTATTGAAGGAGTAATGCGGGCGTGTAAAGTGGGAACATGTTATGGGCGCAATTGAACAAGTGAGCCAAGATTGCACACAACAAAATTAATTATGTTCCGTGCCCAATGCAGTAGTCTACTCCAGGCCCTCAGATTCACTTTGAGGGACATAGAGGGATCAGGGTCCCTCTACGTGGAATCCCTGATTGACAGTGTCTTTTAGAAAAAACAAACCTGAAATATCAGTGTCACTTAAAAAAAAACCCTGAAGCATCAGTGTTCCCTAAGAAAAAAAACTGTTTTTACAAAACCACTCTTGGTACACCAGGCAGGAAGGAACGCGAGGAAACCCCCCGCGAGTGAAAAAACACGGGGCAAATTTGTCTCGCAGTCTCCACCAGGCAGTGCTGACACCGCGGGAATCTGAGATTCCCTGTACTTCCGGGCAACTACATTTGGAACGTGTAAAAACCACATTGAGTGTCAGTTTCGGTACAACGTAGTGGAATCAGTGTCCTTAAACAAAAAAACCTGAAAGTTCAGAGTCATCTAGCAAGAGAAGGCTGAAAAATCAGTCCCACAAAAAGCTGAACACTAGAAAATCAGGGTAGGTACAAAAAAAATCCCTAAAAATCAGGAATTTCAGGAAAAAATTCCTGATATCGTAGGACCTCTACTCTCAATTGCCCACGTCCACCCATGTGCAAACTATACAAACTGCCTAATTCAGGGTACTTCTGAAATACAGCAGCCTGTCAGAGGTCCACTGGTGATCCCCGATAAATCCTATGGAAGGGTTATAGGCACGTTGGCTTGGGGGGTTATGGGCGCACTCACCCGCTACACAAACAAGTCATTTTATCCCAGTGGTTAGTGGCTGGAATTTTGACACAAGCATCAATTTCGTTATTTAGAAACCATTCAGCATTGACATGTCACCTACACATGCGTGCATCCACTCCACATGCATCTCCACTCCACATGCATCTCCACTCCACCTTTGAAAGATACACCACTGCACGAAACTCCAGCAATGCATTTCAACGCACCCTAATACTAAGGCCATTGCCCCGTTTTCACAACCCCTAAGGAAGGGTTACAGGCACGTTGGCCTAGGGGGTTATGGGCGCACTCACCCACTACACAAACAAGTTATTTTATCCCAGTGGTTAGTGGCTGGAATTTTGACACAGGCATAAATTTCGTTATTTAGAAACCATTCAGCATTGACATGTCACCTACACATGCATGCATCCACTCCACATGCATCTCCACTCCACATGCATCTCCACTCCACCCTTGAAAGATACACCACTGCACGAAACTCCAACAATGCATTTCCACGCACCCAAATACTGAGGCCATTTCCACGTTTTCACAACCTTTGCCACAGAGCCCGATTTGCTCCATTCACGTCCAACAACGACACGTGATGACATTATAATCGGTCCCAATTCTAATAAGATAGCGCCCTTTGAAGGCATCGGTTGCTCAATGCGAAGCTGAAAGCTATAATGCTTGCCGCGAGCATTGGGCCTTGTGATGTTCAGGAGCGCTGCCGTTTGCTCGAGAACCGCTGTGGAGCAAGAACTTCCGAAACCCACGCGGAGTTGGTCTCCTCCCTTGAAGTTCAGGAAAAGTATCTTGCCGACCAAGCTGTATGTCGATGCAGAGTACCTGTCAATCACGAGGGCAGAGGCCAGGGTTAAGTGTTTCACAGAGTAGAGCCAGTGTGAAAATTGAGGAATGAAATGAATTAGCAAGCAGGTGGGTACAAGTAGGAAAACCTAAAAGTGTTGTACCCCATATTGTCTACCCCACTACAGCCTACACAGACTATAGCATATGAGTTTGACACACCCCCATAGGCAAAGTGGGGGAGAACAAGAGGTCACAAGACCAGTCAAGCAAAGCAAAGCAAGCTCAGGGTGGATCACAACGTCATCAAACATTCCGAGCACAAGTTCAAGGCCAGAAGGCCAGTTCACATGCAAGATCATATATAAAGGTAAACAAGCAAATGCAGGTATAGACAGATCACAGTACAAGCAAGGTAAAGAAGTGAGCAAGTGTGGCCAAGTAGGCACAATACCTAGCATCGTACAGAAGCGCTGATGATCACAAGGCGGAAGTGCCTTGGTAAAGATATCAGCAGTGTTGGCATCAGAGGCCACATAAGCAAGGCGCAGCTGACCACGCTGCTGCAGCTCACGAGCAAGGAAGTAGCGAAGAGCAATGTGCTTCGTTTTGTGCTCTAGTCTGTGCTCGCGACACAAGGCCAGCATGGCCTTGTTGTCTTCGTACAGAACCGGAGGAGAACGAGGCGGCACTCCTAGGCCAGTCAGCAAGTAGGTGAGCCAGCGTAGCTCCTGTGCAGCCATGGCCCCCGCGTAGATCTCAGCCTCACAGCTAGAGCCGAGAACAGAAGACGAACGGGTAGACCGCCACGAAACAGAGCCGGAACCAAGGCTGAAGGTGTAACCCTGTGACGACCGCTGCATAGCCTGGTCGTCAGCCCAAGAGGCGTCTGCGTGACCTGTAAGGACCATTGGACGTCGCCCTCCAAGCACTAGCCCCATGCCCGACGTACTGCACAAGTAGCGCAACACCCTCTTCGCTGCAGCCATGTGCTCTGGTCGGTGTCTCCCAGGAGCAACATAGCGTGCCAAGATGCTAAGAGGGTATGCAAGGTCAGGTCGTGTGCAGGTCATCAGGTACATGAGGCAGCCAACAAGCTCTGGGTACGGGCCACTCGACTCTACGGACTCATCCGAAGGCATAAATGAGAGCGAGTGGCGAGTAGACATAGGAGTGGCCTGAGGCGAGGAGTACGTGAAGTCGAAGCGCTGAAGGATCTGCTGCACCATGTGTCACTGAGTCAAGGTAATGGTGTGTTGTGCTCTGTCGTGTGTGATCTGCAAGCCAAGGTAGCTGCGTAGTTCACCCAGGTCTGTGCACGTGTGTCTCTTCTGCAGCTCGGACTTCACGTGGGCGAGTCCAGCAGTGTCAGCAGTGAGAAAGACCAAGTCGTCGACGTACACGATGATGTAGAACGGCGGCAAAGAGGTGTCGGTGCGCAGAAACAACGACGGGTTGGCTGTAGAAGGAGCAAACCCAAGAGCCGCAAGTGTAGTCCTCAATGTGTCATGCCACTCACGGGGCGCCTGGCGGAGACCGTAGACTGGCCGCCGGAGGCTCCACTGGGTACCAGGGGGAAACGACACAGTGAAGCCAGGTGGGCGACGCAGCCAGATCTCCTCGTGCAGGCTGCCCTGCATGCAAGCTGTGCCGAAGTCAAGAGAGCGAAGCTCATAGTCGCGCTGAGCGGCTATGTGCAGCAGCACCCGAAGAGTGGTCATCTTCGGGGTGGGAGAGAAGGTCTGAAAGTAGTCAACTCCCTGCCGCTGACTGAAGCCTCGAGCCACGTAACGCGCCTTGAAGATAGGCGGAGAACCCGGCGGCCGCTTCACCCTGAAAATCCACATGCCACTGACGATGTTCGCCCCAGGTGGGAGAACCTCGTCGACGTAGGTGCCTGTGGACTTCCAGGAAGTCATCTCTGCGTCCATGGCTAACTGCCACTGTGAGGAGTAGGGACCCTTTATCGCCTCAGCGTACGATCGAGGAGTCGGGATGTCTGGTGCATCCGGGTCTCCCTCAGGGGCAATCAGCGTGGACACGAGATGAGGCAAAGCAGCAGCAAAACACTGGAACTCCTCCTGCCTGTCCTCAAGGACGTCCATGCTAAGACAGACTCGGACTCATCAACAAGACTAGCAGCGTAGTCTAGACGACAGCGAGCAGCAAAGTCGACAAGCTCAGCAACTAAGGCAGATGCAGCAGTGGACTCAAAGGAAGGGTCAATGACAATAGTAGCCAGGAGACGCGTGAGAGTAGGACTGGCAGCACGAAGAGAGTCAGACTCCGAGTCAGCAAGGACAGGAAGAGAGGACTCTGGAGGAGACGGCAACGGGACACGCAGAGGAGCAGCGGAAGGACGCAGTGCCATCTGGTGTGTGCCTAGGACCGCAGGAGGACGCGGGCGCGAAGCATGACTACTAGTGCGAGCAGCACGAACAGGCGACGCAGGACGAGACGCAGGCTCACGATGCTCAGCAAGACCTCCAGTAGGACCAGGTAGGGGGAGGCGGGCTGTAACTGTGACCGCGACTGGACAAGCTAAGGGAGGAGCAGGACAAGTAGAGGGCGGGAGACCAAGAACCTGCTCAAGGAGCGGAACGAAGTATGGCCGCGGCCGCGCAGCACCTCCAGAACCAACAGGGACAGCACCAGTACCCCCAGCGGCAGCACCAGCGCTAGCAGCGCCAACTCCAGCACCCTCAGTCGCACCAGCGCCAGCAGCACCTCTAGCGCCAACACCCCCAGCAGCTCCAGCTCCAGCAGCTCCAGCTCCAGCAGGACCGTCAGCTCCAGTACCGCCAGCAGCTCCAGCAATACCCCCAGTCCCAGCCGCTTGAGTACCGCCAGTACGAGCACCTTTAGGACCAGCAGCAACAGTAGCACCTCCAGCTCTAGCAGCACGGCTCCAGTGCCGGGCAAACCACTCGCGCAGCTCCTGCGGAGAGAGTAGCTCCCGCCTCGATGAAGCACCGCCAGAAGCCACACGAGCAGACCCAGCACCCCTAGTCTCCGCACCACCAGGCTCCGTACCCCTAGGCTCAGCACCCCCAGGCTCCGCACCCCCAGGCTCAGCACCCCCAGACTCAGCACCCCCAGGCTCAGCACCCCTAGACTAAGCACCCCAAGGCTCCGCACCCCCAGGCTCAGAACCCCCAGACCCGACACCCGCAGGCTCAGCACCCCTAGCAGGACCAGAGTCAACAGCTACCTCGAAAGGCTCGACTGCGTCTACCTGGGACACACCTGACGGGGCAGGACCCTGAGGGGGGAGAGGGTCTACCGGGGGAGGACCCGGCGCAAGGAAGAGCGGCGGCGGGGGGAGGGGCGCAGTGCGGTAGGGGAAGAGACGGTAGTAAGGCACCGACTCGTCAAAGATGACGTCCCGGGAGGACAGAACAAGGCGCGAGGTGGGGTGGTAAAACTGCCAACCAGGCGCGTCAGGGGGGAAGCCAAGGAAGACGCAAGGAACAGCACGGAGGGACAGCTTGTCCGCAGAAAAGTCGCGGACAAACGCCCGAGATCCCCAGACCCGAAACGCAGACGCATCGCCAACCTTCCCCGTCCACCGCAAGGTGGGGGAGGTCTCTGGCGAGGAGACCCGGGGCTGAAGGTTGAGCTGATGCGCTGCGTACTGAACCACAAACGGCCACAGAAAATGGGGAGCAGCCGCATGGATCATGGACGTAAGAGCGACGTCCATGACCATGCCAATGCGGTGCTCAGCAATCCCATTTTGCTGTGGAGAGGCCGGAAGCGTGAAGGTCTGGCGGATGCCCTGTCTACGACAGAAGGCTCCGAGACGGGCAGAGGAAAACTCCCCGCCTCTGTCAGAGTGCAGACGCAGAACAGGAGAGTCCGAGCCGAAACTCTCTCTGAGCTGGAGACGAGCTGCGCGGATCCAGTCGATCAACACCTCAGTGACGTCACCCTTGCTGCGCAAGGGGAACACCGTCGTGTAACGCGAGTAGTCGTCAACCACCAACAGGAAGTAACGCTCGTGACCCTGGCCACAGACACGGGCGGGGCCCCATACGTCATTGTGAAGAGTGTGCAGCGGAGCCTCTGTCGGAGGAAACTCGGAGGAGTGCGGGGCGGCGCGCTGCCGCCCCTCGACGCAGGGAACGCAGGTAGGGTCAGGCCCCGGAGGGAGGGGAGGGAGGGACCGGGGGAGACCAGAGACAAGGACACGGGAGGCCATGCCTCGGAACGAGGCAGGGAGGGGTGACCAAGGCGGTGGTGCCAAAGGAGAGTCTGGTGAGACAGGAGACGAGACGAGCAGGGAGCAGACTCAGGACCAGACCTGGACTCTGCAATAAACACCTGACTCGACGCAGCTACCTGACCAAGGGTAAACGTGGCCAAGTGTCGGCGCGTCCGAGCACACGTACAGTGGGTCACCCGCTGACTCGCAGGAGTGAACTGGTCAACCCCCCGATCCTGTAGATCAGCACCACTCACCAAGTTCGTAGAGAACGAGGGGAGGTAGAGACCTGACTGGGTGCCAGAGGGGGCTGCCGGACACGGTAAGACAGTGGAGAAGCGAGCAAGGACAGGACCCCCAGAGGGGTTGCCAAGGGAGACCGCAACCGGCCGACTATGCTGCGTAAGCGTGGTGCGGTCTCGAAAGAAGGAGCGGGAAGCACCCGAGTCAAGGGTGAAGGTGTGTAAGGCCTGAGCCGACGTGGTACCTGAGAGAGCAGACTCACCAACACCTGGGGCAGCAAACGCCCTAGCACCTAGAGCAGTAGCCTCACCAGCACCTAGAGCATCAGCCTCAATGCCCGGGTCAGGCGGAACACACAGGTAACAGTCACCCTCATCACTAGTAGACACAGCATACATGGCAGCAAGAATAGCATCATAGTCAAGATCAAAGATAGCAACCCCCGCCCTAGACAGCTCTCCCCAGCGAGGGATCTCAGTGGCGTCAGGGAACTGGTGACGCCAAGCGTCCGTCAGGCGGCCGAAGCAGCGCAGGGTGGAGTGCGAGCCCCCGCACTGCTCACCAGCGCGGTTGCCGGTACGGAGAACGAAGGTACAGGGACCAGTACCCCCACCTCGCTGACGCATAGCGTACCACTCACGAAGCTGCTTGGGGGACGGGGTCTCACGAGGGCGCTGCTGCTGCTGGCGTTGACCACCACCTAAGCCGCCCCGCTGCGCAGAGCCACCCCGACTAGCTCCACCTCCTTCGCTGCCACCTCCGCCACCGCCGCCACTGCCTCCTCCTCCGCTCTCACCGCCACCGCCGCCGCCGCCTCCGCCGCCACCGCCGGCACCGAAGCCCCCACCCCCGCCACCACTCCCACCACCAACCCCACTCCCTCCGCCTCCTCCACCTCCACCGCCCCCGCCAGTCCCTCCAGCGCCCTTGCCCCCCTTGCCCTTGCCGGTGCAGCATCGCCCGCTTGGAGTAGACGCAGCGCCGACCGACTCGGTGCCAACGAAGTCGACGGCAGCAGCAGAGGCAACAGAGGGCAAAAGGGGGGAGGGGGAGCACCCCTCAAAGACAGGGGCACGCGGGTCACCTCAAGAGGCTCCTACAGTGACTATACTCTTCTCAGCTGCTAGGAGGCGCTCCTCGAGGAGCTCAACGATGAGTGTGGTGGGGCAAACAGAGAGGAAGTGGTCCCTGACCGAGCGAAGGGAGTCAGGGAGCCGGGTGACTATGTAGTAGAGGGTGATGTACATGGGGGGGGGGGGGGTTCTTGGCGCAGAACTGAGCAGGAAGCATAGCGCGGTAGCGGGTGTTACTAGTTCGAAGGTGCGTAACGAGGTCAGCGACAGTGGGAAAGGCGGCGAGGTCAGGAAACAGGTATGGCAGTATGAGGCGGCTAAGAGCAGCAGTGGCAGGGGAAGAGTAGCATGCAACTACAGCGTCGTACAAGGTCTTAGCACTCTTGTACTGACTAAAGTGCGCACGCTCAGCGGTCGGTAAGTGGCGACGCACAGCAAGACGGGCAGCAGCATCGCGCGTGGCCCACTGTGAGCGAACAGTGCTGTCATCATCAGCAGGCAGGGCAGGAGAGGCACCAGAGGTGAGATCGAACAGGGAGAGTCCGTCTGCCCTATCGCACTGTAGGAAAAGCTGTAGGTCATCGACCCAGACCTCGAAGTCAACAGCACGACCCTCAGCATCAAAGGTAAGGACACTGGGGGTAGCCATGTCAGCAGTGGTCTAGTAGGGAGTGCTCTCACCAGTCCGGGTGGGTAGGGCCGGGGCGCGCCGGTAGAAACAGGGCTGCAACAGCGGTGGCAGCGGCTCGACAGAGGCAGTGGCGGCTCGACGGCGGCCTCGGCGGCTCGGCTGCTCAGCGGCTCGGCGGCTCAGCGGCTCGGCGGCTTGGTTGCAGGCGACTCGGCGGCTCGGCTGCTCGGCGGCTCGGCGGCTCAGCTGCTCGACGGCTCGGCGGTGAAGGGGCCGGGATGGCGATGGGGCCGCAAGAGGGCGGCGACGGGGCCGCAAGAGGTCGGTGACGGGGCCGCAAGAGGGCGGCGATGGGGCCGCGAGAGGGCGGCGACGGGGCCGCGAGAGGGCGGCGACGAGGCCGCAAGAGGGCGGCGACGGGGCCGCGAGAGGGCGGCGACGGGGCCGCGAGAGGGCGGCGACGGGGCCGCGAGAGGGTGGCGACGAGGCCGCAAGAGGGCGGCGACGGGGCCGCGAGAGGGCGGCGACGGGGCCGCGAGAGGGCGGCGACGAGGCCGCAAGAGGGCGGCACTCGGGCCGCTAGAGGGCGGCGACGCGGCCGCGAGAGGGCGGCGACGAGGCCGCGAGGAGCGGCTGCAGGGCCGCGACGGGCGGCGACGCGGCCGCTAAGGGCGGCGGCGGGGCCGCGAACGGCGGCGATGGGGCCGCGAGAGGGAGGCGACGGGGCCGCGAGAGGGCGGCAACGGGGCCGTGGAGGTGGGGCCGCAAGGGGCCGCTAAGGGCGGCGCGACGGGCCGTTCAGGGCGGCGCGACGGGCCGCTAGGGGGCGGCGACAGGGTCGCGAGGGGCCGTGAGAGAGGGGGCCGCTAAGGGCGGCGCGACGGGTCGCTATGGGGTGGGCGGCACACAGGGTGCACCTCGGTCAGGGGCGACTCGATCTCAGGGCAGGAAAAA